GCCGTAAAGGAAAATGTGTGTGTGAGGCTTCTCGCTATGGCATGTGGCTGCTGCTCATCAGCCACAGGGGAATGTTGGTCCTTCTGATAGGTTTACATTTAGCTAGATGGCTGTTGCAATTGAAAGGGAGAGATCAAATTGAGAAAACCATGTTGGTAATCCTTTTGTCATGGGAAATATTACCGAAAAGGGAGGCTTTGGAGTTTTAGGGGGGGGAAAAAGAAATGGATTATTTCCCTTACCATTCCCCATTCCAGAGCAGGAGGATTTGCTTTGCCCAACTGTCAAGCAAGCTCTTTTATGTGTAGTCCATGTATACCATTTAAAGGGGAATACAATGCCTTTTTATTTCTGTATTGTGTGAATGCATAGAGAAAAGAAGCTTTTTGTTTTTCATACAAAGACTGTACTCTAAAACAGAGAATGATTTAAACTTAAGAAAATTTTCTGAATAATTTTGAACTAAAGTTTTATATGACATTTAAATATGTTAATAATGAATTTTTCATAGCTTTGTTGAGATGTCATCAATAAATTGCACGTACTAAAATGTGCAGTGTGATTAACATGTGTTTATACCACTAACGCCACTGTTACAGTCAAGATAATGAACATATCTGTCACCCTCAGCCCCCAAGTTTCCTTGTACTCCTTCATAATCCCTCCCTCCGCCTGTCTGTCTCTCCTTTCCCTAGGCTGTGCATCTTTCTCCTGTCACTAGATGTTAGTTTCCATTTGTACACGTTTGTATTAATGGAATAACACAGTATGAACTTTTCATCTGACTTCTTTCATTATATGTCAATTTTTAAAACCTTTTCTTTGCATGCTGTAGCTTTAAAAACAACATTTATTATTATTATAATTATTGTTTTTACCTCAAGTCAGAGCTACAGAGAAAGCGAGCGACACAGAGAGATCTCCCAGCCACTGGTTCATTCCCCAAATAGCTGCAGTGGCCAAAACTGAGCTGATCCAGGGGCCCGGCGCGGTGGCGCAAGTGGTTAAGGTCCTCACCTAGCACGCCCGGGATCCCATATGGGCGCCGGTTCTAATCCCGGCAGCCCCGCTTCCCTTCCAGCTCCCTGCCTGTGGCCTGGGAAAGCAGTCGAGGACGGCCCAAAGTCTTGGGAACCTGCACCCGCGTGGGAGACCCGGAAGAGGCTCCTGGCTTCGGATTGGCATAGTATCGGCCCGTTGCGCTCACTTGGGGAGTGAATCATCGGACGGAAGATCTTCCTCTCTGTCTCTCCTCTCTGTATATCTGCCTTTCCAATGAAAAAATAATAAAAAAATAAATCTTTAAAAAAAAAAAAAACTGAGCTGATCCAAAACTGGCGGCCTCGAGTTTCTCCTTGATATCCTGCATGGATGCAGAAGCCCAGGGCCTTGGGATGTTCTCTACTGCTTTCCCAGGTCATAAGCAGGGAGCTGGAATGGCAATGGAGCAGGCGGGACACGAACCAGCACCCATTACAGGATGCTGCCACTGCAGGTGCAAGATTAACTGGCTAGGCCGTGTGCTGACCCATGCACGTTGTAGCTTATGTCAGTACCTTGTTCTCTTGGATTCTTGAATAGTAGCTTGAATGTATCACAGTTTGTTTAGCTGTTGTTGGACATTGGAATGGTTTCCAGTTTTTGGCTATTACACAGGCATTTATGACATTTGTTTACAAGTATAAGAATATATCCTCATTTTCTTAGTTACGTCATGTGGGAGATATATTTATGTGCTGAAGAAGCTTCCAGGCTGTTGTCCAGAGTGGTCATACTGTGTGTTACACTCCTACCACCAGCTCCAGATTTTTGCAAACACCTGGCCTGGCAAGTCTTTTTGATTTAAGTGTTAGGTGTGTACTTATCTTGTTGGCATTTTAATCTATGTTTTTTTATTGACTAATGATATTGAATGTATTTCTATGTGGTGGTTTGTCATTGAATACATTTTTGTGGTAATGTGGTTATTTGCAATTTCTGCCTAGTTTTTTTAGTTATTTTCTCATTTGAATTTTAAGAATTCTTCATATTTTCTAGATAGGCATTTTTTCCCTCGCATGTGTAATGTACAGGCATTTATTTCTTTCAGCTTGTGGCTTGGCGGGTGAGTTTTTTTTCTCATTTGTATTGAGACAGTTGCAAGATCCCAGTTATTTGAAAATTAGGACGAATTCTGGATTGAATTCTAATTCATACAGGCATGAGTAATGCAACTAGTTAATAAAGGTTTTTATGAATTGTAAGATGCGCTGACCACCTGGGAAGGAACACATCAGCTCCGTATAGAAAAAAATTTACATGGCCTTTATTTCAGGAAACTTTGGTCACAGGTCCCCGTGTAGACAGAAAGATGCGACTGCAGTTCCCAGGATGCTAGCACATATGGTAACAGAGACAGAGACTTGAACGGGGCTTTCAGAAGGCTTTTGTCCTGGTGGTGACAGAGTTGCCCAGATCCATGAGGATGTCAGTTAAAAAGTGCTTCCCAGTGTGGCCTGGCGCGGTGGCGCAAGTGGTTAAGTCCTCGCCTTGCACGCCCGGGATCCCATATGGGCGCCAGTTCTAATCCCGGCAGCCCCGCTTCCCTTCCAGCTCCCTGCCTGTGGCCCGGGAAAGCAGCGGAGGATGGCCCAAAGCTTTGGGACTCTGCACCCGCATGGGAGACCCGGAAGAGGCTCCTGGCTTCGGATCGGCATAGTATCGGCCCGTTGCGCTCACTTGGGGAGTGAATCATCGGACGGAAGATCTTCCTCTCTGTCTCTCCTCTCTGTATATCCACTTTTCCAATAAAAAAATAATAAAAATAAATCTTTGAAAAAAAAAAGTGCTTCCGCTGGGATTTTGGCACGGCCCATCTTGTTTTGACAGTATCCCGCGGCCGGTCCAAATGCGAGGAAGTCATCCCCGCCTTGGAGTTTGGGCTAGCAGGGACAAGGGTGGGTCGGCGAATGAGGCATCTCTCAATTGCTGAGGCCCCAGAACCGGAGGGCCAGTGCGAGGGAGACACCTCCTGGCTCGCAAAAGGTCCACAGCGAAGGTGAACCGCTATGTGTGCGACTGGGCAGTCCAAAACCAAATGATAGGGACTTTTTCTGGACGAAGGGGGCTTGTCCTGGAGGGGTCTTACCTTCTGCTTGGGCAGAGGTCTTTGGTACCTGGCGACTGAAGGTCGGAGAGTGGGCAGCCACAACCCTGCCAGTGGGGTGGTTTAACGATCCCTCTCCCTAGGCGAGCCACCAGAAATGCTAGATTCCTTGACCACCCGTGTAGGAAAAAAGCAACCAAGTAGAGACAAAATATAGATGACGTTTATTCAAAGAAATCCCAGTTCACAGGCCTTTCTCCCTTGCAGCACACAGACGTGGAGAAGGGGCTACAAAGGAACAGAAAGAAAGACCAAGAAAGAAACATGCAGGGGTTTTTAAACCCCCTTGACACGGAAGCTGAAGCAGGTGTTGCTTCAGCCCTTATTTGGTGGGCAATATTGGTTTGTGTCTGTCATTGGTGCAGCAGTGGCCGCGCTTCCTGGGGGGCGTGCCACAATTCCACCTGCCCTTCTGGGTTGTAGCATGAGACTGTGCTGGAAGCAGGCTCCGCCCTCTGCTGGTCACCGTGGCAACCATCAGGAATACATTTTGGTGTTTTCCTGTTTATAAATATCAGATTTGCTCATTATAAGAAATCTAAAATAAATTGGAAATCATCAAGAAGGAAATGAGGCTCTCCCCTTTCCTTCCTGTGGTGTTTTCTTTTTGACATGGCAAAGGTTTTTGTTCACTGTTTTTAAATTTCTTTTAAAAGTGAAGTCTTGGGCCTGGCATGATGGCTCAATGGTTAAATCCTTGCCTTGAAAGTACCAGGATTCCAGGATTCCTCATGGGTACTGGATCAAGCCCTGGCTGCTCCACTTACCGTCTAGCTCCCTGCTTGTGGCCTGGGAGAGCAGTCAGGGACCACCCAAAGCCTTGGGACCCTTGGGTCTCCCACATGGGAGATCCGGCAGAAGTTCCTGGTCCTGGCTTCAAGTCAGCTCAACTATGGACCTTTCGACCACATGGGGAGTGACCCCGCTAATGCAAGATCTGTTTCTTTGTCTCTCCTCTCTGCATATCTGCCTTTCCAATAAAAATAAAATAAATCTTTTTTAAAAATGTAAAATCAGCCCAGTGAGATAGCCTAGTGGCTAAAGTCCTCACCTTGCACACCCAGGATCCATATGGGCGCTGGTTTGTAGCTTGGCAGCCCCGCTTCCCATCCAGCTCCTTGCTTGTGGCCTGGAAAAGCAGCCGAGGACGGCCCAAAGCCTAGGAACCCTGCACCTACACGGGAAACCCAGAGGAGACTCCTGGCTGCTTGACTTCATTTCGGCTCAGCATTGGCCGTTGTGGCCACTTGGGGAGTGAATCAATGGATGGAAGATCTTCCTCTCTGTCTCTCCTCCTCTCTGCATATCTGACTTTCTAATTAAAAAATATATATATATATTTTTTTTTAAGTGAAATCTTTTCAGATGTGAATTCTCTGTCAGTACATGGGTTCTTTGCATTCTCTGCTTATCTGGGTGGGAGTTATTACCCTTCTTGAGTTTTCCAGCTCAGGTCCGAGCACCTGTGCAAATCCCATTGTTACTCTCAGTTTCTAGAAGACTTTCTAATCTTTACCCACCTTCCCTCCTTGGTTTATGATTAGTAATCACTCTGGAGTCTGGTGTTATCTATTGGTTTTTAGCTTTGTACATAAGAAGTTCTTGATTATTTTCTGAATATGTAGAGATTGGGAAAGGGTGTGTTAAGGATTTGAATTCACACGGATTGTAGCCTGGGAATCTAGTGACTTTAATTTCTAGTTTTGTATTCTGACAGCTAGAGAAGGCTCATGCTTTTAGGTCTGGCAGTAATAAATTTCTAAGAGAAATATCTGTGATATCTTTATGTTTGTCAGGCAGAACCAGGGCTTGAAAGTTCTATGTGAAGCGGGGTTATCCAGTGTTTCTGTTTCAGGTGGAGACGGCGGCGGCAGCAGTGATGTTTCACTTCTTCAGAAAGCCCCCCGAATCTAAAAAGCCCCCAGCGCCAGAGACAGAAGAGGTAGAAGGATTCGTCCTTTTGGGTGAGTCTTTGTGCTTCTGTTTTTACTTCCTGTGAGAATTCCCATGTACTTGTTCACCAGCCAAATGCTGGTGCTGGAATGGGAGCTAGGAGCTCAGACAAGATCTCCTACTCAGAGACAGAGTCAGAGCCCTTGATGCTGCCTCCTGGGGTGTGTGTTGGTCAGAAGCTGGAGTGATGAGATGGATCTGGGAATCCAACCCGCGTACTCTGGAGTAGAAAGGAAGTGTGCTAACCAAAAGCCTAATGACAGTTACCTAGGTGAGTTTTTCTAAGAAGAAAATCAGAATTAAAAGAATTGTCTTTCCTTTAAAGTTGTTTGATAATTATATGATTAATTTTCTTCCAAAAAACCTCAGAACTAACTTGCAGGTGTAATTTAAAAGGGCATATCTATAAAAAGTCATCAATCATATGAAATGCTGTTATGAACTCATACACCTCTTAAACATTGGTTTGGCTCTATGTTCCAAATTAAATTTGGAGGATAACTCCTTCCCCCACCTGTTATGCCCATCAGTTAACTTAGGAAGCTAAGAATCTTTGATAAACGCAAGCGTTGTCTTATTGATAGTTCTTGTCTGGCTTCTTAAAATAAATATTTATTAAATTAAATAGATTTTGAAATCCAAATTTATTAAAAATTTCTAAATTTTTGCATGGATTACTTTTTTAAATCGTGAAATTAAAAGACTTTTCATTGGAAAGATTTTAGTGGCTTTAAAGACATTTCTTTCACCTAAAACCAGTACTCTGCTCAAGGGGAATTCTGCAGGTAAAATTTCCTCATTGTCATTGTCTCTTCCCCTCCACGTAAGAAATTGGCTGTCTTCATATGATCTTCCCAGAAATTCTGTACCCAATGAGTGCTATGGCGTAGCCAAAACCCAGTGCCAGGTCCTTCTCTGAGGAGAGGTATGTTTCATTTTGGGTTCGTTTGCTGGAGTATTTCTCAGAATCTCCCTCTGCATGCTGGTTTCTTACTTCTCCCTCTTTCCAGCCTAATTGGACAGGTGTCCACTAGCGTTGACAGGTGCTCAGTATGTTGGAAGAAATGGAAATGGTTTCTTTAAGATTTGTGGGTGATCCTTTGTTAGCTTCCTGCCTGCTGAGCCTTCGACTTTCCCTGTGCCTCTGACCTTGACATTCAGAGGCATTATGGTGGGGTCCAGCCTTCTCAGTGTTTCTCTGTGGGATCTGGTCTCTTGTAGAGAAGATACAGGGACTTTACCTGTAAAGAAGGCCCTCTTTTTATTACTCTGTGGGAGACCAGAATGGTTATTCTCATGAATAAATGTGTGTGTAGAATGTTCCATTCTTTCCACAGCCTGGTTCTGTCAGGACTGTTGTGTGTTTCTGAATCCATCTTCTGTGGCCTAGCACTGGGGTAATAGTGTGGCTAGAGTTGTTTATTTCAGACCAGGCTCTTGACACCTGAGGTAAAATCATGGCACTTGGTCTCTGACTAGGGACTGTGTTTTTTCTGAAGAAGGCTTCTGACTGTAGGATAAGGTGGCATATGACCTTGTGTGACCCTGCCTCCTGACTGTGTCCAGAATTAGTGCCTTGTCTCCCAAGTCAGACCTGGCTTTATCAACCTCATCCCTTGTTCCTCGAAAGTAGATAGTCTTGCTGTCTTCTCACTTCACTAAGGGAGCATTTTCATGGTAAACATTTCTCTCTGAATTTTGTTCCAATGAAGCCTTGTTTACAAACTATTTTGTGTTCCTTATTTGAAAAGTTATCTCTGTAATCTTAACAGAGGACCTTTTTTTTCCCCTGTTATTTCATGAGTGGAAATTGACATAATCCTTGTTGTTATCATACAGCCATTTACAGGGTGTAATTGGATGCTTGGAATCTCATAGAATTTCTAATGTTAGACCTCCTCAAGTTTTTTTTTTATATATTTTATTTTTATTTTGAAAGTCAGATATGCAGAGAGGAGGAGAGACAGAGAGGAAGATCTTCCATCTATTATTGATTCACTCCCCAAGTGGCCACAATAGCCAGAGCTGCCCTAAATTGAAGCCAGGAGCCTGGAGCTTCTTCTGAGTCTCTCACATGCAGGTGCAGGGTTCCAAGGCTTTGGGCTATCCCTGACTGCTTTTCCAGGCCACAAGCAGGGAGCTGGGTGGGAAGCGGGGCTGCCAAGCTACAAACCAGCGCCCATATGGGATCCTGGGTGTGCAAGGTGAGGACTTTAGATGTTAGACTCCTGCACTGAGCCCTTTTGTTTTAATTTATTTTCTGTTTGTGCTCCTGTGTCCCGCAATCTTGTCATGTTTCAGAGACCAGCAGTTCACCACAACTCACATGGCTGCTCGTGCTAGTCTTCCTGAGAGCTCCTCCTGTTTCCTGACCAGATGTTCCCTTGCCCGTCTCTGGGCTACATCTGAAGTGCCCCAGTTTCCAGGGTGCTGTGCCTCAGCAAGTGAAGTTTAACAGCTGTGAACTTCTTCCTTTCCCAGCAACAGCTCTGATTTTAAAAAGTAGTCTTAAACGGAGCCTCAGAAGATAAGCAGGCGTGCCCTTCCGTGAGTTTCCAGGATTTAATTACGCTAATGTACTCTGAGTGCCAGCTGCTCCCTTTGGTATTGCTGAGCCCTCCTGGCTGTTTCCTGAAGGCTGACATGCTGTCCTGTGAGAACCTCCTCGTACTGTCATATACAAGGGTGTATTTCTAGCAGCTGTCCAGTTTTGGTTAAAAGTCACTTCTGTTGTAGCTCCTGAATAGCAATTTCTTTTGTTGCTGAGCCACTGCTATGCCTCGTTTATAGGATGCAAGCCAGACAAGTTCCCTGGATTTCAGTGAGGCCTCCCTGTCCCTCAGGTCCTCTGTCTGCTGATGCCTGTCTCTTTCGGTCTATTTCTCCTCAGGTGTATAGCTCCACTCCTGCACTGTTGTCTACAAAAACTCAAGTGCAGTAAGTGTCCTGTGAACTTGGTTTTTGATGGTGTCAGCATGGTCTTATGTCTCTCTGTAGTGTGCTAATTCAGGGGCTGGATTCTCTGGGTTGGCAGCTCAGCTCCCTAGTTTACTAGGGTTTCTACCTTGAGCAGGTTATTTAACTCCCTGAGTGTCACTTAGCCAAACTGAAGTGAGTGATATATCATTACCTACCCCATGAAGCTATTGAAGAGATGAAATGAGTCACTGTGTGTAAAATGCTTAGAACATCCCTGTTAGTGAGGTGGCTGTCCTGTATCTCCAGACAGGTAAAATCTTGACCTATTCAGGTTCCTCCAGTTAGCACAAGTATTTGTGGAATTAACCAGGCAATTTGGTCAGAGCCTATCTGTTTAACCCCTGAACTATTTGTGTGAATTGCTTGAATGTCATAGCACTAGTTTCAGTTTTAAAACGTGAGTAATCTTCTAAGCCTTTCATCTGTTTTAAATTCATTTATTTTTATTTCTTGGAAATATAGAGCAAGAGACAGAGACACCTTCCGCCTGCTAATTTACTCCCCAAATACCTCTTAACATCTAGGACTGGACTAGGCCAAAGCCAGGCGATTGGAACTCCATCTGGGTCTCCCACATGAGTACTTGTATCGTCATCTGCTGCCTTTGCACTCTGACACAGCATGTGGGCCTGCCAAGCAGCATCTTAGCCCACTGTATCATGATGCCTGTAGCCATAAGGTTTTTAAAATAAATTTGAGTTGTACTCTCTATTGTTAAAAGAGAAAAGGAAGGATTTTCAAATTATGGCCTACTTGAAGTTGAGTTGGAAGATGACATACAGGGTCTAGCAGAATGGCCCCGCCCCGCAGCTAAATCCTCACTTTGAATGTGCCAGGATCTGCTCTGGGTACAAGTTCATATCCCCATTGCTGCACTTCCCTTCTTGTGGCCTGAGGAAATAGTAGAGGATGGCACAAAACCTTGGGACTCCTGTAGCCCATGTGGGAAACCCAGAAGAAGCTCCTGGCTCTAGATCAACTTAGTTCTGGCCATTATATTTACTTGGGGAATGAACCTGAGGATGGAAGACCTTTCTCTCTGTCTGTTTTCTCTTTGTAAATTTGCCTTTCCAATAAAAATAAATCGATCAAAAAGGAAAATAAGATGACATACATTGTTTAGTTTTTTTTAAAAAAATCCCCTCAATAAGTAAAGAGTAAACTGAATTGGCTGATCAAGGTCCTGACAGATTGTTAGGAATATGTTTGATTTTCTTTAAAAATATAATGGTAAAATCTTTTTCTTAAAAAAATTGATCTGTCCTGTTGAGTTGCTGTTTTTGTTATAGGGTTCTATGTATATATACATGGTGTTGTCTTCTTTAGTGTCACAGCATACTGTGTAAAGATATTTTGTAAAATGCCAGGCAGGTTAAACGGTGAGTTTGAAATGCTCATGCCCTTATTTCCATGACCCCTACTTTTGTATTTCGATGAGCTTGTAACCATGTAGTTTTTTGGTGTTGGACTATGCAATAAGTCTGTTACAGGAAGACACATATATGTCATTGGTTTTGTGTGTTTGCCTACTGACTGCCATTTGATACAACAAGACTTAGAAACATGATTATATTTGGAACAACAGTTTCTCATCTAGGTGGATTGTATAAAATTGAGAGACTATCTCCTTTTTTGATTTTTATCACCTGTTTATAAGAAGGACAGAGTAAATCATATTGTGGAAGTATCAGTTGTCATTTTTCACTTGATAATACCTCTTCCTCTAGGCTTAACACAAAAAGCTTTTAGGTCACCATTACTATATGGGATTGCTGAGTTGGTGAAGTCAACAGATTGTGATTTGAAATGTAGGAACTGGCCATAGTTGAGGCACTTTTGTTGGAGTCAGAATATCTGAGCTGCTTGCATGCAATTAGCTCACGTTTGGGTGGCAAGGCTTTTTCCTTCCTTAGGATCTGCAAAGCTTTTGGCCTTTGTAAAATATTGAGTGGGCTGAATAAGAATAAGGGGGGTAAACCTAGAAGAAAAACATCCTTTCCCTGTAACTAGTTTCTATTCACATAAGAAGGTA